CTATGTTGAGAAAATATGTTCTTCACACAAGATGTGTAGTTTGATATGAGTATTTAGAAATTCAAGATGATATAGGCATTAGCATATCCAAAATATCTTATTTGAATAGTTGATTGGAAAAAATAAGCTTTGAGGCAAAATGATTACTTTAGTAAAAGTTCAATGAAATAATCATATGGCAAGAGAAGTAATTTGAGAAATGGAGGAATAAGATATGAAAGTAAATCAAGTTTTAAGGATGAAACTTTTTATAAAAAGGAGAGAATGTAATAGCCCATCTCAAATGATAATTGGGCAAGATTACTACCAAAGTCCATTAGTTTATTTAAGAGATTAATTACTAAAGAAAAAAGTGACTGAGGTATTTTAAGAGAGAAAACCTAGCTATTGTGAAATAGAAAAGAAAATGAGAGTTTTTTTTTTTTTTTTTATCTTCCTTAGGGTTAGAGAGCATAAAAATCAAGGTAGAGATTCAAAATTAGATGCTATAATCAAGTTAATCTCCTAAATGTGAGTATATGTCCTCTTTTTATTTAAGAAAAATACTATATTAGTTACTATTATTTGGAGTTGAAGTTACGAGAGAAAAATCAAGAAAATTATGAAATTTTCATTAATCTTCATGATCCATTTGAGTAAATTATTGGGCTTTGTTTACTTTATCTCACTAAGATTTAATGATGATTTTTTAGCAGATTTTAAAAGTTGAAAGTAGGGATTTCAGTTTTTAAAAATTGAAGGAAAATTTTTGTTTCTGGATGAAATGCTATTATCTACAATAGTGAATTAAAATGATATTCTTTATTAATGGATAAAATATTAGTATGATTATTATATTCCATTGGAAAGGTTGTTGAATCTACTTTTCAATGAAACAAACAAAAGTCAATTCTAAGTTTTCTATAAAGAGTAGTCTAATTTTAACTTAAAGATGTATAGGCTACCTAGCAATAGTAGCAAGGAAGAATTACGAAAATTCTTTTAATTTTTATACAATGAATTACAAACTGAGCAATACATGTTTGGAAAGCTTATTGAATCTACTTCCTAATGAAATAAGCATAACTAAATTTTGAGTCTCTTATGAATAAATATATAATTTTGATTAGAAAGTATATATGTTATCCGGCATTAGCATATGATGTGGATTGCAAAAATTACTACAATTAATGTACAAGGAATTAAAAGGTGGGCCATATATGGTTAGAAAACTTATTGAGTCTTGTTTCTAATGCACTAAAAAGATCCTAATTCCATGTGGTAAATCTCGAGATAGAGTCATTTTAGTGAAAGGAGCTCAGGTTACCAATATTAGTTAGTTAAGTTAACTTTGTATAATTTAGTTGTTTTTAGTATAAATGGTCTTAAAAAGGGTTAATTAATTTCTAATATGTTGAAACGATCTTATACAGGCCATTAATTATTTTGGGGGAAAAACTAAGTGGATTGAAAGAAGGTAAGTAGAATCTCATACATTTTGCTTGTTTTCGAACCTCTGTGTGTACATATATATATGTTTCTAAATGAGTGAAAGCTTTATTTCTTTATTTTCAATATATGAAAATAAGATAAAGCTTATGATTATTTTGCGTTTTGCTATATAAATGATGAATCATGCTTATGAATGAAATGAAAAATTGATTTATGTTTAAAAAATAATTTTATGATAGCTACGAATTTACATCTCTGGGAAATGGGATCATTGATATCAGAACTAGTTTTATGACCCTAACTAATGGGTTATAGTAATGAGCATAGTCATGATCATACGACCTTACTAACAGGTTATAATAGTTAGCATAAGGCCCTAGCTAGCATGTTATAATAGCTAGTAATAATCATAAAGATAAAATTATCGATACAGCCAATGTCACAAGTTATGGCACTAACCTTAGCTAATGATAAACTAATAATAATGATGATTTGTGATGATGAATTTATGATTTTAAAGAATGGTCCATAATTTGTATAAATATTGACTATAAAAAGAATTGGTGATGATTTATGATGATTTTTAAAGAGTGATTAGTGGTTTGGTTTGATTACAATGTTTGAATGATAACATATGTTGTAATGATTTATGAATTGACATGTTTTGCTATTGAATTATAATTTGACAAATATTTTAAATGATCTATATGGTATGTATAAAAATGATACTTAATTTGATAAGGTGTGTAAGCCTATATTTGCTGAGTTATGGCTTGCTCATTCTCCTTTTATTTTTTCTTTACAAATGAGTAAGTAAAAAATTTGTTTAATCTTATGAAAAGCTAGAAGATCAAATGAGAAAGATTACTAATCATCAAAGACATTATTGCCAATGAAATCTTATGAAATGGTTTTGTATTTTTATTAGTTTACATTTGGATGTAAGGAGATTTATCATCAGTTTATTGAAAAATTTTAGAATGATTAAGAAAAAAGGCTTCATATTACTTTAGAGTTTTTACTTCAAGGTAATAGGATCGAGTTACGTCTTGGCATCAGAGTGTGACAAAAATATTTTAAAAAATAACAAACCAAAACGTTACATGGCATTTTTATAAACTAATCAATATTTGACAAGTTGTAGAATAAAGGCATATCAACCACTAAAATTTTGTTGACAAGTTTAGCATTTGATGTGGCATTTTTTAAGTAAATTCAAAATAATGCAGTGGCCAAATATGCCATCTGAACACCTAGTTGGCCAATCAAAAAATTCGAACCAGTAGAAATGCATTAACAATTGTTGGGAAAGAAATGACTAGCAACTATACCACCAAAAATCTAGCATGAAATCAGTGAAGGATCGATTATTGACTTGTGCAAATAGCTCTCAATTTGTTGAAGCTTAGGACAAAATTAAAAGTTTTAGTTGATTATTGATCTAAATTTAAAATAATCCAAATGTAAAATGATTTTATTTTTTTAACTTAAAATTATTTAACCTAAAACAATTTAATTAAAATTCAAATCGATTTGATTTGTCTATTTACTGCTATAATTATAAACTAATAAAAGAATGAAAAAGGAAAAACAAAGTGGCCTACAGGTTTAAGTACTCACCAAAGTCCAATCTTGATTGGCTAACAAGGAAGACCAACTTAAATTTGTTTTAAGACTTTGAACCACACCTATATAACTTAACTTGTAACCTATCATGGAAATAACAATTTGGCCCTTTTAATTTTAGGTTAATTGCTTGATATGTGTTCAAAAAGATGACAATACCCTTTTATGTAAATGACAAAATATCCCTTTATAAATGTCAAACATCTATAATGCTCTTTTATGTCTTAAATAATGAAAATGCCTTTCTTCTAAAGAATAAATTACTATAATACCCTTATGTTATAATTACGAAAAATGCCTTTCATATCATAATGGGTTAAAATTACTATAATATCCTTTATACTATAATTATGAAAGTGTCCATACTACCATGATTGAACAAAATTACTATAATGTCCTTATCATAATCATGAAAATTCTTTCATACCAAAGTTGATCAAAATAACTGTAATGCTCTTACTATAATCTTAAAAAAAATGTCCTTATGATTGTTTCATAAAAAGTTTACATGTGACATTTTAGTTGAAAATTACAATAAAAGCTCTTTTAATTTACATATTAAAATTTAATATAATAATATAAAATTAATCACGTATTAAGTTACTAAAATACTCTTGCTATCATTTCTTAGAAATTTTGTGAGGCATTTTATTTGAAAATTGTTATAATACTTTTATTAAATTACATATATTAAATTTTAACATAATATAAAATTAGCTACATATTAAATCACTAATCTCATTAAGATTACCAAAATGCCCTAATGGTTTTCTGATTAAAAGTTGACACGTTTCTTAAATGATTATCTCTCTTATAGAAATGCCTTTCTTACTATAAATGGTTAAAATTATGATAATGCTCTTCCAACTATAATTTGGCAAAATTATTGACACCTTTAGTGCCATAATTATGAAAATGCTCCTTCTACCATAATTTGTCAAAATTACTATAATGCCTCTCCTATCATATTTTACCAAAATTACTATAATACCCCACCAACCATAATTAACCAAAATTACTATAATACCTCATATCATAATTACAAAAAGACCCTTATAATTGCTTCATAGGAAAGTGGCATATGACATTTTTTAAAAAAATTACTATAATGCTCCTATTAAAATATGTATTAAAATAATTATAAATATATTCAACATAACAAAAAATTGATAAATAATAATAATAAATTTTGACAAAAAATAATTCAACTCTATGTAGGATAATTATTTCTAATACAATATATAATATAAACATGCCTTTATTTCATGCACTGTGCAATCCAATAATATAATTTGTGGTGGGTTCCTTCACATGAGTTAGAGATAAGGTAAGCAGTTGGTCAATTTGAGTTTAAAAAATAAAAATCGAATTAATTTATTTTTTAAATGAATAATTAAAATCAATTGATCTATTTTCAATATCTAAAAATAATCAAATAAAAAAAGTTGGTCGATTTCGATTGAAAAACTAAATTTGTCCACATTCTTTTTTTATTAATTTTTTTTTTATTCAATAAAGTTCAAACTCAAGTATCAAGTTTTAACAATTCAAATTCAATGACTAAACTTAATAATTTTAAAAACATTCTGTAAGAAAAGGATAAGTAAAAATACAAGTATATTTTTTAATCAAAATAAATTCAACAACAAATTATTAAAAGTATTCATTTAACTTAAAAATATAAATAAAATAATATATATGTAAAAGTATTCCTCCACTTTTTTGGGTAGGAAATATCATATTTGTGTTTTTTCAAAATATAAATAAAATATTTTATATATCTATATTATATAACATATTCAAAATTTTATTAAAAATGATCAATTAATTCAATCGATTTAATTATTAATTTTGATTATTAATTTTAGATATAAAAATCAATTGAATTAATTGATTAAACCACTTCCTTTAATCGATGTTATCGAAACCAAACAAACTAAATTGATTTGATGGAATTCAAATAGATCGATTCAAGTCATCAGAACTAACTTCTACTCACCCTAGTTGGAGTAAACACATCAAGCGAACGCAAAGCTTTCGCATCAGAGGCCAGCCCGCCTCATTGGCAAACCCTTCTCTTTCTTTCATCATTTCGAAATCAAAATTCACTAAGGTCCCATATGATCCCAACTTACTACAACCATAATTTTTAAATTTTCCTCTTAATATTTTGCCAAAACCCCTAATCACAATTAAAAGGGTGTGACCAAAAACAGACATAAATCAGGCAGCTTGATTTATAGGGAATATTATAACCCAACATGTTTTAGTCATATTCAAGAGGAGGATTGCTATGAGAACTCAACTCAAACATTGAGAAGCTGCTCTTACTCAGTGGATGCCTTAACATCAGCTATTGCTGGTGATGTTGGTGTTGGTGAGTGAGTAGCATCATTTTCCATCTTCTTTAGGTTTTGCTGATGGTACACTTGCCTCAATCTCTCTATTTCTCTCTTCAGTGCTTCTTGATGAGCTGAAGTTTTCCACAAGTCAGCAAGATTTAGTTTATATATAAAATAATATATACAATTATTCACTTGCACGTATATTTCAGAGTATTGAAAAACTAGAAAACAAGAAGCTTGATTAACTATCATGCGTTTGCCTGCCTAGAAGCTGAAAGCAAACCCTCTACCCATTCAAATTTGTAGTAAATATTCTAATAATTGGATAGTTAAGCTTGGTTATCTTCCATGTTATTGAAACTTGAATATTAGTGTCAGATACAATCACGTGTCCAATACAAGTACATTCAATATTTACGATTTTTTTTTTTTTACATATTTGGAAGGTGACCATGCTCATCAGATCGAAGATGTGTAGAATACGAGTCCTCTACGAAAAATGAAGAATGAAAATAATATAGGTTATTTATGTTTAACCTACATTAGTGGTCTCCCCAAATAAATAGGCAAGAAATATTAAATTTGACATCTCTTGGGGTATCATCTAACAAGTCTCATCCAATTTAAGGAACTTTATTACGGATGACTGATCCTCACATTGGTCATTAATATTTTAATCAAGCTCAATTAAAATCTGAATTCAGAAAGGTGTTCAAGATTTTAATTATGATTGATCCCCACATTGGTTAACCACCACATGAAAAGCTTTTGGCCATTTACTCACTTTATGTTATCTACTCACTGCTCTAAGAAAGCCGTACGTTTCTGCAACGGTTTGTAAACCGTACATTAAAGAACAATCATGTGGCATGTAATCTGTTTCAGCTATAGCAATGGAGTATATGTATGTTTGTATAGTTACCATCTTTGAATATTTTGTCTTGCGCCAGTGCTGCAATTCTTTGCTTGAGAGCACTGTTGTCGACATTTAGAAGCAAACGGTGGTGGTCTAGAAATGCAACTCGCGGCGACAGCACCGAAACTTGAGCCTTAATTATATATCCAAAAAAGAAAGGAAAAGAAACTTAAGCCTTAATTGGATTTCGGGAACAAATTAATTAATGCTTTGTTTTCGATGGTGATAGTTTTTTTCTGTAATTAAAGAATTCAAGCTCACACCTGTAATGAGGTGACACTGCGTTCAAGCTCTGAAATGTAGTGTAGCTTCCTCACCCGTGATCTTTGTGCAGATTGTCTGTTAGCCAGGATCCTATAATCCAACACCAGAAACAATAATTATTCAGAAATAGTTGAGAATGCATGATCAATAATTCTTCATGCTTTTCTAAATATTTTCCATTTTGATAAATTAAATTGACACACATATATATATTACAAAATGGAATTGAAATGTGGGTGCACGATTACCTCTTGACCCTCTTGGGATCAATTATTTGGTCGGTAGAAGCGTCTGTGGTGGCTGCTGCTTCTTGGGATTCCGTTTTGTGTTGGCTTTGAACCTCCTCCGATTCCTTCCTAATCGTATCTATCTGCTGCTTCTGATCCTCATTAATGCTGTTGTGGTCAGAAGGCGTGGAAGGTTTTGAAGAAGATACCGTGGGGACCACTGCATTTGGCATATCATCCGGGAACATGGACATGAATTGTTCATCATCAAATTTATCGAACTCATGGTTACTACTAGTTCCGGTCCCCGGAGGTGCATTCGAGCCTCCACGGCATTCTTCAAGCATTGGCGCTTCAAGGAATGCAATGGAGTCGCTGATGGAACGCCTGTGGGTTTCGCGTCTTGCCGAAGAAAAGTCCAGGAATTCGTCCACCCAACAGAGGTCACTTTGGTGCTGGGTGCTGGTGCTAGTGCCGCCATTGGGTTGAAATGCAGCCACTGCCGCTGGCATCCTTTGGTGGATCATGTCGGGCCAATTCGGTGTCATATTTGGGATTTTTGGAGGTAGTTGTGCCGTTCAACTATAATGATATTTCAATCCAATATTGACACCAAAAGTATGTGAACATCAGCAGCACCACCACCAAGTTTGTAATTAACTAAGGAAAAAGGCAGCTAAAGTAATTAGCAATCAAACCAAAGGGGAGTACCTAGGTAGCTAGCAAAGCTTGTTGGTATACGGCAGAAGTAGCTGGTGGGAATGTCAAGACAGAAGTCATGTGATACAACATCCAGCAGCAGCAGGAGGAGGCAGGATTAGGACGAGAATCATGATCAAAATAAAAGCACAGTAATAGTTGTTGGAGTATTTCTTTTCTCATGGCCTATCAAAATCGATCCTAGCCTACTATTAAATCTCACTCTTAGTTAGGCAATGTGCAATGGGGTCACATCACATGGGGAGAGATTGGACAGCTATGCACAGCTGGGTAGAGGCTGGGTCTCAACGGTACTACTGGACAGTTGCCAGTAGTTTAATAACTAAAGCCACCACGTGCCCTTGTGACCCTTCCTTTAGTGGCACTGGATGCTTATTACCATATTTACATTCCAATTCAAAGGCTGTTTTCCCATGCATGCGCCACCACCCAAACCCACTTTCAGATCTTAATTGACCATTCAATTCCATTAATACGACTTGTAAAGGAGCTAAATTATTTATCATAACTCCAACTTATTTCATAACCAAAACCTCTTAATTAAGCTTCTGACTATCCGCATTCAAATTTAATTAGGTTTATTATACTTACTATATAGTATGCAACTTATATATTCATGTACATACCACTACAAGTTTGTTCAATTATATTTATTGGTTATTGATTTGATTTATTTATTGAAATTTTTTATGTTTATTAAAAATGGTTTGATTGTGAAATAATTTTTATTGATAAATGTAGTTCATAAAAAAAAAAATAGCGCTACTAAGTGAAAAGAGAAAATGTAATCAATTCAAGCCGTAAGAATACAGTAATGGAAGAGAGGACAGTTGGGGAATGGGGGCGGGATTTTGGTGATATGAGCTGGGAAAGGAAAGAGGGATTTGTTTGTATGGATGATGTCAGGCCAATCCATTTGTATAGTTAGCATGCACTCAGCTTTCTTTGCGTTGTCTCCAAACCATATCCACATGTAGGGTATGTGTTTCGTTCATTTCTCCCATCAATTGCTGCCTGCTTCTTGGCACCTTCCCTTGCCGTTAGCTTGCAAATATATGTTGTTCTTTTTTTTCTTTTTAATCCAAGTGTGGGTCTGGATTAATAGCGGACACTAATCATGATAAGAGAGATGGTTTTACAATATAATATATACATATAATTTGCCGGCTTCCTTCTCAAGAAAGTAGTGCCTGACGGTAATTAGAGCATCTCAACATTATTTATTTATTTATTTGCATGTGGTGACTTTGTTCTCGAGTTTTTATATACCATCCATAATATTAATTTTGTAAAGATTAAAAGAAGTTAGGGTATCTACATGACACCCATTTTCTCATCCAAATTTACCTATTTCCTTTTTTTATTGTTTCTTATTACTCTTTACATTTTATTTGTTTTATATTTAATTTTTTATTAGAAATATTTTATAAAAAAAAGGTCAATAGAGGTAGGAGTTTTGATTTGTTCAAATACAATCAATGCATTTTTTAAAAAATTGAGATTGTGTCGAGATTTTATTTTAATCCAAAAATTGATGTAAGGTTGAAAATGGGTTTAGAGTATTTCGTCTTACTCATGATATATACAAAAATATTTTTTATTATTTTTAATTTTATATTTATATGTGTATTATATTAATAAAGTTATTATTTAATACTTTAATATAATAAATTCACATGGCACCATGTTTTAGTTTATTTTCTTTTTTTCCATTTTTTATTTTTTTAGTTGTTAACCTTTTTAATTAAATAAATTTTATAAAAAAATTCATGAGGGTAGGGATAACAAAATAACCCATATCCAATGGATTTTGATTCAGATTCAATATGTACGATTTTTTTTTTAATTCAAGATTGGGTCAAAATTTTTTTTTCAAAATTAGGCTCAAGTTAGAGTCAATGGTGTTAGAGGTATCAAACAACCCCTATCTGATGATTTCGACCCAATGATACAATAAGGACCATTTTTTAAAATCAAAATTGGGTCAAGGTAGAATGACTTATCTTTTTAAAATCGAGGTTGAATTGAAGGCGAGTTTAGGATACTTTATCCCACATGTTTCATCCCAACTCAAGGTATAAATAAAAGTATGTATTTTATTATTTATTTTATTTATGTATATTATATTAATAAAATTATTATTTAATACATTGATTTAATAAAATTTTGATATATAATTAAGATATAATTTATACATGAATATTATACTATTAAATTGATTTTTAGTCAAGTCAAGTAGGGAGCAAGTTTTACATATAGATGTCGAGTCATGGTTGATATGAAAATTAATAATCCAATATCAGATTGGAGTTGGGTTGAATATAAACATGCCCTTACTTAATCCATTACTATCTCTAAATAGAGGTATCCATGTGGTAGCCCTATTTAGCTTCTTTTTCAATTTTTTTTCCTTTTTGTTTGCTCTTTTCTTTTGTTTATTTATTTTTTTAAAATTATCTATTTTAATATTTATAATTATTTTAAAACAATAAATTTGAAAAAATGGATTTGTATTTGATTTCTTATACAAGTTACGGGAATAAAATGCATACATTATCCATAAATTAGTTGATAAATTTTCACTAAAAATTGCTTTTATTCAAAAATTATAAATGAAATTATAAACTAATTTATTAAATTTAATATTATTAAGTACAAATAAAAAAATTAAATCCAAAGCAAAGCATAAGCGAACATGTTGTTATTCCTATATATAAATTTTGTTTATGTGTAGATGAGCAAGAAATGCCACATGTCATCCTTCTTTCCTCTTTTTTTTTATTTTTTTTTAAATTGTATATTTTGTATATTTTTATATTTAATAATTATTTTTAGCTTTAATTTTTTAAAGGTGCGACCCACTTTATATGAGATTTTTACCTTTACTTTTGCTTTTTGTTTTTGTTTTTTTAAGTTTTTAATTATTATTTAGATTTAAAATTTTTTTTGTATGAGACCCACTTTATATCAAGAGTATACCACCTTTTTTTACTTTTTTATTGTTATTCTTTTTTTATATATTTAATAAATATTTTAAAGATTTTACATTTCATTTATGTTTGAGATGCACTTAATATCAAGGGTATGCCACATATTTGCATTTTTTTACCTTTATTCCTTTTTTTATTATTTTTCTTTTTTTAATCCCCTTGATACCAAGAGTATGTTGCATTTCAAGTTATTCGCTTCTTTTTTTCTTTTTTTCTTTTTTTTTCATCTTTTTTTTGTAGTATTTAATTATTTTATTTTTTTCATATAAAGTCCGTTTGATATTATTGATTAAAATACATTTTTTTCTTTTTTTCAATTTGATAATTTTTTAAGAAAATGATGATATAGTGGTGTCAACATCATATTCAAATTTAATTTTTTTTCTTTTTTGTCTTTTAAAATCTATGATATAAATTTTACAAAAAGAGCTCATTATTACTAATATCGAATGACAACTCAACTTTCTTCATTTTTTTTCTTTTCTTCTCTTCATCTTTCTTTTTTAGTTTTTTCTTCCTTTCTTTTTTAATTTGGTCTTTTTTTGGCAAAAACCACTTGATGGATAAACAAGACACCATCATTCTTTTTTTGCCTTTTCACTTTTTTATTTTTTAATTAGATAAATTTTATAACAAAATAATCGATAAATAAATTTTAAAAAAATACCAATTAAGGTGTGGATAATAAAACAACTTGTATCTAATGGGTTTCGATTCGTCCAATTCCAATAGGTTCATTTTTTAAATTTGTGATCAGATTGAGTATTTTTTCCAAATTCAGGGTTAGATCAGATGCGAATTTATGGTGTTTCATCCTACCTAAGTAAATATAAATATATCTTTCATTATTCATTTAATTATATATATATGTATTATATTAATTAAATTATTATTTAATACCTTAATTAATAAATTCACATGCCATTCAATTTGACTTTCTTTTCTGTTTTCCACTATTTTCTTTTTTTAAATTAGATAAATTTTATAAGAAAAAAGTCAATTAAAGCAGAGATGACAAAACAACTTATATCCCATAGGTTTTCATTTGCCCAATTATTATATGAGTATTTTTAAAAAATTAGGATCACGTCAAGGTTTTTCTTTCTTTAAAATCAAGATTAAGGCTTTTCATTTTACTCTAAGTATATGTATAAAATTATTTTTTAATTATTTTATTTTATTATATATATATATGTATTGTTCTAATAAAATAATTATTTAATATATTAATATATTAAAAATATTATATTTATATGTAATTAAGTGAATCTATCAATCTATCTAGTATATAAATTTTATTTATTTTTAGTTTTGTTTCACATCATTTAAGGTGTCAACTTGACACCTTTTTTTTTCTTTTTTGTCAACTTTTTTTTTTACTTTTTAAACTTAAATAAATTTATAACACCTTATTCAATAACCATTTGGGAGATTTTTCTTAGTCTTTTCTTAGTTGCCTTCCTACATTTGAGATTTATTACACTCAATCAAAGTCTTAATTTTTACAACTATTTTGCATATTTTTCCCCTTAAGCTAAGTAGAGTGTTTTTAGCTTTGTAATAAACTTGCATGGAGGCTTAAAGAGGAGAAAGAAAATGGGTGTGGTTTCAAGGCTGAAATGGGGTTCATTGGGAGCTTGTATTTTATTGGATTTTTATTGGCTTAGTTGGCATTTTAAAGGCATCTCATTTGTTGAAATTAAACTCCAAAGATCACTAAGAAGTGGCACTTAAAATTGGAGAAGCAAAGGAGTGGTGGCAACTGCACAACAAGTGAATTGCATGGGAGCTTGTTGGTGGTTCAAGTGTGAACACAAGGGAAGGCCAATGGTTGCTTAATGATGTGGCATTTTAAAGGCTTCTAATTGGTGCAATTTAAGAAATTTCTTCAAAAACAAGCTCTAATATCTTATGTTCTTTACACATATGCATCTACTCAATCTTTAATTCATGCTTATAACTTAAGTAAAAAGAACGTAAAACATTTCATCACATTTCAATTCAAAGATAGAATAGAATTCATACATTCACTTTCTCTTTCCCTCATCAAAAGGTCTTTTAAGCTTGTAATGTAAGGTTTAGGTCAAAGTAGGGAAAAGGAAATTTTAGGCTTAAAACCCGTAACTTACTTTCTTTGAAATTTCTTGGACTTTGATTTGAACAATTGAGATGAATGACATGAATGAATGACCCATAAAATCTATCCCCCAAATGACATGGTAATAAGATTTTATGGGACATGAATGACATGAATGAATGACATGGTAATAAGATGACATGAATGA